GAGCACCTTGTTTGTTTCTGTCATGAAAGAAGTCTAAAGGGCTGGCAGTTTGAATCAAGAACTTCTTCCAGGACAACCATGATGATGTTACGAAGTGTGCGGTAGCCTTCTTTTTTTAATCAGGATTAATTCAGAAAGATCTCAGACATTAGCACTCTTCCGCTTACCACGAGGTTATAATGCAGAGGCCTCTCAAGAGAATGATGCCTTTGAGAGGTAAGTTCTTCAGTCTTACTCAAGTGGAAGGTTAAAAAGCTTCTTCCAGATATCTTGAGAAATGGGGTATTGCTTTAAATTACTTATGGTACAAATGCACATAGAGGCCGTCATTTAAGGCAGCGGGTTAGGTGGCGTTACTGATGTGTAACACTTTTACTGTCTTTATTTCTTTGTGAAGTGCATCAGATCAACGTGGGGAATGTTAATGGAAAATGTCAAGCCACTTTCATTTTTTTTCACTAATTCACTAGTGGGTGAATAAACTTTTGCTGTATTACTTGATTTTACAAATGTGGATCACTTTTTTCCTTCACAATCATTTTAAAGACGTGAAAGGAGAAGTATTATTTAGCTAATTTATTGCAAAATTCTGAATTGTCATCATTTTAGTTGAATTACACTAAAAGTGACTATTTTGTTTCCTATTTGCCATAGTTTAAGCGTTAAAGCAACAGGTAAACAATGTGGTCATCAATACAGCCATTTTAGAGTTGCTTCCATGGCACGTTCTGGATCTTCTGAATTTCTTAATGCTGGTGTGTAGAAGTCCTCAGCTTTAGTTGTCAGTTGAATTTACTGCACAGATCTGAAAAATCATTAGTAACTTCTGGTTTTATTTGGCAACTCAGTCCATTCTGGCACCACTACCAGTCCAACTGTTAGTTCTGGGTCTGAGACTGAGAGCACAGATTTAACTGCTGCAGGCTCACAGCTCCAAGCAGCACCTTTCTTGGTGCCTGATTAAAAAGCCGCAAGCTTTCTTACCTTCTTGTGCTGCTCTGTCCCTCCCTCTGGTAGTCCTAATTCGGCTCAGTGTTGGCTCTGCTGTTGCAGCGGATGCCTGTGTTACGGAAATCGTTACAAGGATTAATGAATACATTTAGATACAGTATTGCTAACCAGCTTGCCTTTTCTGTGACATTTCAGAGTGCCCTCTCATAAACAGGGAAAAAGTTCTGAGTCTGGAAAACAGTCAGTTCTTACCCACCTCAGGATTCTGACAGACTGACACTTAAAAAGGAAAAAAAAAAACCAAACCAAACACCTATGCATGACTCTCAGTTTAAGGGGGCTTTAGGTAGAGGCACGAAATTTCTGTCTGAAAGGGTGTAGAGGGGCAAGCAGTAACCACAATTGTTGTTCCTGTTATGAAGCGGAGGTTCTGTTTTTCCTGGGTCTTGAAGACCATTTGGCGCATCCTCACAAGAGTAGACTTGCTACGGATTCACTCTGATCTTATGATACATCACATCTTACACCTGTGATGATCTGACAGGTTTACCGGCACCACACTCATCCTTGGGCAGGGCTGTTTCTATGTGGAAGCTCTTCATGGCATTGGAGGATGGAGGTTTTTTGTGTTGAGCTGAAGGACCACCCTTTCCTGTGAATGCAGGTACCTCTCTTTTGGGATGCAGGGCTACCTCTCTTTGGCATCGTCAATGCCAAATATAATTTTTAGATTTGTAGCTTGACTTTGCAACTCCACTTCCAAGAGCACTCTGTCTCTGCAGATATTCCACAGATATTCTGTATCATGAAGGTGTCCTCTTTGCATTTCTATGGATGTACCAGTCAATGCTTTTCCTCCACTTGCTCCAGTGGCGTTGGATGTCTCCATCCTGGGATAGAATCATAGAATACCCAGTTGGAAGGGGCCTCAAGGATCATCTGGTCCAACCTTTCTTGGCAAAAGCGTGGTCTAGACAAGATGACCTAGCACCCTGTCTAGCTGAATCTTAAAAATGTCCGATGTTGGGGAATCCACCACTTCCCTGGGGAGATTATTCCAATGGCTGATGGTTCTCATTGTGAAAAATTTTTCTTCTGAAATAGGGTTACCTGCTCACCTTTGTACTCAGAGGTGGGAACCTGTATGAAGCTCAGATCTGTCAAGATGTCCTGCCAAGTTTTTTGCTGCAATTTCAGGGATGCTACATGCAAGTAGTGTCTGACAACAGCATTGTAATCCTGCATGTTAATGAAGAAGATAATGTCAGTTCCTCACTTCCGTGCCTTGTGCTTGCAAAATTTTATAATTAGAGTACCAGGCAGTTGCTGGAGGCTGGAGGACCTACGTATGACTTGCTTTCGTATTTGCACTCCAGAGTGGGACTGAGCTTGGGCTTCTTGTCAGCTGCCTGCTGGGTGGAAGTGCTCTGGAGTGGAAGTCTGGTGGACACCTTTCCTCTAGTGCCTCTCCACCTGAAGATAATGTTAATCCCTGCCTAACTCAGAAAGTTCTAGTTTTGGGTTTTCTTCAGTTTCTCAGTGGAAGATCCGTTGTCTGCTTGTTTTGTCTCTCGAGGCAGAATTCAATACAGATCCTGCATCTGGATTTAGCTACCCCAGCTTGGATGAAGAATGGCTTTTGTTAAATGAAAGACTTGGTTTCTCCACTGTGAGAGATGTTCTCATTGTCAAAAGAAAATCTATACCAGCGAGAAACTTTATTCAAGTAGACTCAGTACTGTATCTGGTGTTAATTCAGTTCCAGGATATTGAGATATTTACTTGGGCTGGAAGGATCTGGCTTGGCGCAGTAATTCTGTCAAAAGTACATCTGTCGGTTATTGCTGTACCTTTTCTGACAGATCACTGATGTTGTCACCTTTCTAATTCAAACTATGAGTCTTGGTCAAAGCACCCCCCTTTCCCTGGGATACCTGACAAAAGTGGAGTTCAAACTGAGCGCTGACGTGTCTTGTGATTACTGGTTTTGAGCATCTGTGTGCTGGTCCATAGTAGTCACGCCAGCGTAGGTGGCTTTTCTCACTGCTTTCCAGTAACAAGGTATCTTTGGGTGTGTGCATTTCACATCCATCTCCTGATTGCTTTCCCTTGATCCTTGCAGTGTTTAGTGTCTCCCTTTGAATTAAATGCTGAGAAAAACTGAGTATAGAGGGGGCTTGCATTAGCTTCTGTGGAGGGCATCGACTTGCTTTCATTTAGCAATACTTGTAGCTAGTGCTTATGGCTTACTGTCACCCAGATTGAATAAGCACATGGATTATATACCTCAAAAGGGTCAATTTCTCATTCTGTCCTGTTTTATTAGTGATCACGTGTCTCTTTGGAGCTTGGTAGAGCTCAAACATTTCATGTATCGATAGCTTTCTTGCTGATAAAGGCAGCTTTGCACACGTTTAAAAGTTCATTGAGGGAGAACATGTATTCTTTTCATCATAAGTGCAGCTGCTATCCAAAGAACTTTTCACAGAGATTGTACCATTATTTTAAGCTTTCCAGCTTGCATTTGTATGCAAGTCCTTAACTGAATATTTGCAAGAGGCAGTTGCACTTGACCTTGCCCTTTTCTTTAGCTCTCTGGCCCCACCAGCAGTGATCCGTGTTAAAGTAAGGGGAAAGCTAGACTGCAGGTCTGTCTTCTGCCAGCTCTCTTCCAGAAATTACCTCCCTTTCCTCTACAGGAAAATTCTTAATATGTTTGCAATTGGAAAATGCAACCAAAAATGTTGACTTTGTGTTCTTTATTAAAAACTTTAATAGAAACTGGCTGACAGTATACTGAATTAAATAGTAACCTGATGATATTGTCCTATATATAATCTTCGAGCTGCTTGCATGTTGTTTTCTTTAACATAATTCCTCAAAATAGCTAAATTGTTCTTCGGATAATGACAGCTTTTGCTTTTGTCTGCATGACAGTAGGGAGAAAGAATATAATATGGAAGTAAGACCATAGCAGGAATCTTATCTAATTTTCTCCAGAAACTTCTTTTTTTTTTTCGCATAAGGTGAATTAAATTCAGAGTAAACTGTTCACTAGGTGACTTCTTACAAGTAGGATACCACCTGATTATAAGCTTGAATAATCTAGAGAAAATTTACATTAAATAATTTAGATCCACAGGGAAAATGTTTTAACTCATAAAATTTTGAAACAAGGGGCTACTATGATGCGCTACTAAATATGGCTGTATAAATTTAGTGATTTAATATGAGTGGAGTTGAAGAGCTGACGCTCTATGTACACAGTTTCTTATAAAAGTTATGTAAAAATGAAAATACAGAAAATGAATGTTAACATGACAAGAGTGTTTTTAATAACTTACTGTCTTCCAAAGATCATTAGTTAATCTAAAAGTTTATTTTGTGTGCCAGCATGAAACACTTTTGCTGTTCTGTCTGTAATTTGCTAACATTTATCTAGTTTTAGTCATGTTGTCGACTATCTATGTAGATTTAGATTAGATATAAGAAATTCTTTGCTGTGAGGGTGGTGAGGCCCTGGCACAGGTTGCACAGAGTAGCTGTGGCTGCCCCCTCCCTGGCAGTGTTCAAGACCAGGTTGGACGGGGCTCTGAGCACCCTGGACTGGTGGAAAGTGTCCCTGCCCATGGCAGGGGGTTGGAACCAGATGATCTGTAAGGTCCCTTCCAGCCCAAACCATTCCATGACTCCGTGATTCTATCTGTTTGTGTTGAAGAAGACTAATACGAGTGTTGACATGACATGACAGTGGCTTTTATGTTGTTCCTCAACAACTACTGATAAATAAAAATATATGTACCTGACTAGATAAAGCTGTAAGCAACCTGGTTGAATTTCACAGCTGACCGTGCCTTGAGCAGGAGGTCAGGCTGGAGACCTCCTGAGATCCCTTCCAGCCTGGCTTATTCTACGATACACTTGTGTGTATATACATGTGTGAGTGTGTAAATGTGTGTGTAAGATTTATGCATAATTTATAACGATACATTGAGTGATTTCAGATATGGCTATAATATACTTTCATTCTGCTGGTTTTCTTTGCCCAGTCTGCCACTAAGAAACCTCGGAAGTCTCCAGCAGACAAGGGTCGTTCTGAATCTGGAGCCAGAGGAGCAAGTCGTGGAAGAGCTAATGGCCACCCTCAGCAGAACGGAGAAGGGGACCCTGTCACTTTGTTTGAAGTGGTTAAGCTGGGGAAAAGTGCTATGCAGGTAAAATAACTAATTGTGTTACCCCTTTGCAATTCAGTATATCCTGACTGTAGTAGTTCAGTCTAAGCTACGCTTCTGTAAACAATTGTGTTTTTTCATAACCAGTATTAGTTCAGTAGACTGTCTGTGTATGATAAAGTAAGGAACAGAATATGCTTTGATTGAGTTGAGGACTGTTGTACATACGTCTGAAAGACAAAAGAGATTAGAAATTCTTGTATTTCAAATTCTCCGTTATTTTGTTCATTATTTCCAAATTGAAAATACATGCTGGTATTAAGCAGTCCATTAAACAATACCCTGCAATAAATTTTCTTTGAGGAAAAAGTATGTGAAATTAGTAGTGGATCCAAGGCTTTTTTTGTTTGCTTGGTTTGGTTTTTTTCCCCCCAAAAAACGCCTGCTGACACAAGCACTTTTGAGTACTTTGCATTGCAACTTGCATTCTTCTTGCTGTCCCCACCAGACCAGACTACCTCTGTGTCTAGGGGACAAAGATGGACACATCCTGAAGACAAATTTTTCATTGTAAGCTAAATATCTGAGATACTTGTGGTGAATCACCTCTGGAAGTGTTTCTTACTCCTTTATGTTTTGATCAGTTGCAGTGGTCTTGCAGGATTTATGGGACCAGATGAGTCCCAGCTCAAGAACCTCTATTGATTATTGTTTTTGACAGTAGTTGTATGCTTTTAGTAAGCGACTATGCTTCAGGTATTTTTTTTTTGGCACTCGAAGGAGAAACGATGGGCCCAAAACACTGTTCATCTGGTGCAGTGCAAAGCCAACGCTCAGTCCTACTGAAGGGTTGTTTAAGCAAACCTCCTTTACTTTGCATTTCAGCAAAACAGGACTCATGCAATATCAATTAGTTTATTTTGATGTTGTGGTGCTAACCAACATGAGAAAATTACAAATTAGGAAAATTAGGAGTCCCGTTTTCGGTGTTACTTGTAGCATAGCTAAAAACTAAGTCTTCCAAAGAAATCTAGTCTTTCAAATGAGTGAAAGCTGTTGAAAATGTTCTCTCGGGCTGAAGTCTGTGGAAGGTCTGAGGTGTAATTTTAAAGAAGTAATAAACAGAAAGAAAATGAGAGGTTTTATTCTTCGTAATTGCTATATTTACAGTTATTCAGGATTGACCCTTCTTTTCTAGTAGGTGAAGACAGAACAAATTTACTCCTAACAGAGCTACAGATTCCTTGTGCCTCTTCTTCCTACATGTTTTAAGTCAGGGCTTCCAACTTTGCTTGGTTTTCAACACTTCTTCAAATTTCATTTTTGGCAGGATTTGGGGAAACATCTGGAGTCTATTTTCTGGTTTTACTGTGCTGCAGAACATACAATATGCTTTATGCAGTACGTTTGTCTTAGAGTTGCTGGTATTTTCAGGAGCCAAATGAAAAGAAATGGGTGATTACTTTGATATTTGATGACTGTATGTATGGAATTGACTTTGATACATATCATCTATTTCGAAAGAGATGCCATCAGAAGTCTTCTACAAATGAAATTCGAAAAAGAAATTGTCTACATGTTTGTGTTAAGAAATCTTTGAAATTCAAATACAAAGGAATTGTTCTGAGAAATTTGGTATTTGTATATGCATATGTAGATGTGTGTGTGTATTTGTATATATGCACGTGCATGCACATGCTTAAAATGTACACATCCTACATATTTGAGGAAGAACTAGACAGCGCATTTTAAGCAGTGAAGAAGTGCTAAGCATATAGCAAAGGAATAGGTAAGTTTCTCTGAAGGTCTGGGATGCAAACAACCATAAGTGGCTTGAGCCATGTTTGGGAGCACCAATCTTAATTTCAGGAGTGTGTGTCGCTTGTGCACCTTTGAAGATTTTATTATTGGTAAAAATGTTCCAGAATAAAAGAAATTTAAAAAAAAAAAAAACCTTTAGTGGGAAAGAAGATGCAATTAAAATGTGGTTTAGTATTTTTTAACTTGCACTTCTGGACAATAATCCTATATGAAACCAAGGTTCTATGAACCAAATTTATCAGCGTTTTTGTACTTTTAGCTTAGGGATTTTGATGGAACAACTGGGAGTGCTTGGCATTTTTGTTTTTTAGTGGTCAATTTTAGTAATTTTGTCAGTATTGCCACTTTCCAGACAAGTGCCATATATTTGTATTTGTCAGAACCTACGATTTCTCAATATTTAGTTCTTTCCCTGTAATATGAACCTACGTTTTGCTATAGCGCTCTAAAGTTTGCTTCCAGCAATGAAAACCCAGAAGAATTCAATTAGTATATTCTGAGATTACCTGGGACTTTTACTTCATGTGCCTTCATTTCTGATCTACCTGCTCCTGCTGTTTGCTCTCAGGACTTAATCTTAGTTGCTATATTTTTTCTGGCTTTGTGTTGCCAGCTCATGGAAGTCTGTAGCTGAATTCAATTCTCACTTCTTTTAAGTTTGTCCTGTATTTTGGCTCTCATAGCAGGATTCATTTACTACTTCTCTTCAGGCTTATTGCTGTTTGGTTCTTCCAGGGCAACTAGGTTAATATTTTGTATTTCAAGTACACATAACTTCAGAACAGCTCTTTGCATATAAATCTTTGCCTCTATTATGAAGTCCTAGTTGTGTCGGTCAGTGTTAAGTCTCATCTGAACTCTATAAATCAATTTGATACCCACATTAACGTGGTATCGGGTTGTTGTCATTGTGTTTTAATTTGCTCTGTAACCTTTTGTACAGTTCGTTACTTCAGAAGTTTTTCTGTTGGCAACTCTCTGTGTATGACGTGTAATATGACCCGCTGTCCATGTTTTCTGCGGGTACATTTTGTTAGTTCATTAAGACTGTTCATAGAGCTTTTTTTGGCTCTATGTTTTTTTTCCTTAAGCAAATGTGATACTTTTCTGCTTTTTGTCATTTGTCTCTTTTTTTGTTTGTTTGTTTTTCCTTGAATGTTTTTGTGGGTACAGCTATACCCACTGTATTTCTGTGCTCTAAACCTGTGTAGGCAGAATGGGCTGTGTCACTATTTCTGATGCGCTAAACTGCCCGAGGTTACACTGACGGGAATGAAGGGTGTGGGTGAACCTCCGCTGCTCCTGCTGAGCCCCAGCACAGAGGCTGACTTGCAGCCTTAGATCTGCATAGTCCCTTCTGCGTTGGTCTCTGACCCTGGCATTGAGCTGGCAGTGAAATGAAGAGCGCGTACTGATCTCACATTTTGTTTAGGCCTCCGTCTGAAAATTTCTCATAAGTAAATTATAACCAATAAGCTGTAATGAAGTTTGTCCTTCTGTGTTGGTCAAACCAAGCATAGAAGTGTTCTGTGTTCTTGTGTGCAAGGGGGATTTGTGCCTCCCCCAGAACATCAGAGAGAATCATCAGTCATCGTAAGAGGTGTTCAGCACCAAAACATGAACAGATCTATGCCTCGACTACTCGGTAATATAATGTGTGTTACCAGTCACCCATAACTGATGTTAGCAGTTCACTACAGGTTAGATGCTGGTTTTGAAAAAAAATTTAATCCCTCTGCTTAAGCTCAGCTAATAAAAGCAATCTTGTAGTTGGTTAGCCATGGTTCAGAGTAAACATGGCTCCATTATATGCCAACAAGCACAGAGAAAGAAACGACAAGACAGAGAGCTTTCTAGTGTGTTGAAATGGATTTTTTCATTGTGCCATCAGTTGTTCTTTGTCTCTCCAGAAATTAAGAATGTGTGTGGTTTCTCAGTGTTCTTGTCTGCACACCTTGTTGAGTCTTTGAGGTTCCCTCACTGTTGGAGTAAAGCTGTATTTGTAGCACTGCTTACCCTGGCATGAGAAGTTTCTTTTGTTTGTTATGCTTGAGTTCCTCAGATTTTTCTTGTCTTTGCACCCACTGGGCTCACGCTGGCAAACTGTGACTGTTGTTCACAGTACTACGCTGGCTAGAAAGTTTATGTATCAGAGGAGGAACATCATAAGACCTTTTTTCCCATCAGTTGCCTTCTGAAAGGATTAAAAATCTTTCATTAATATTAACTTAAAATATTTCTGAAATGTTAATGATATTTTCAATATTATACTGATTTTCAGTGTTTATCCACCTGTGTGTTGCAGACAGGTTCAAAATTAGTACCTCAAAAATAAAAGGTATGCGTCCCTTCTAATGACATGTTTGATCTGTTGGAAATAATATGAAGGAGGTGAAGGAAACACTCTGACCACTTTCAGCAGTGCTTTTTTGTTCTTCATGCATTAACATCTTACTGGCATGGTTGCCAGTTCTTTTTATCATAATGTATCAAGTTTGGATGATGTTTAGATGTCGACATCTGTATCTGAAATTCCTTTCTGATTGAAATTCCTGGTACCTCCAGTATCTCTTTCTGTCACTTTGAGGCTTCATGATCTGTGTAAGAAATGCAAGATAGTCAGTTCCTCCAAAGAGCTGATGTCTTTTTGCATCTTGTTAATATGACATATACTATATAATTTCAGTGGTTTTTCTATTTTCGTAGCATTTAGGTCAGAAATAGACCATTGTGGTCTGTATACTACCTCACTGCATAGCTCAGACCATGGAATTGCACCCATTCTTGTATTAAGCCAACATCATCTTTTCCAACCCTCATTTTTCTGTAGTAATAGTAATACCAGTTTCCGTTAATTAGAGGTTTGGGTGAGCCAACCTTAGCAACCATAGAGGCAGAGCCAAAGTTTTGAACATCATCGTTCCCCCTTTGAACATCATCGTTCCCCCCCAGGTCTCGCTGCAGTGGCTGCTCCCCTATCCTGGTTGCCACAGGTACCTTGGCCATTGCAGCGGGGAGCTGGGCTGCTGAATGTGGAGCAGGAGGTGGCACTGGCCTCGGAGAAGGCATGTGGTGTCACCCCAGAGAGCGAGGCTGCCCCGTGGGGTGGCTTCTCCCAGGGAAGGAAGCTGGTGGTAGAGCAAGCCCCAGTGACTGCACTGCTTTATCAGCTGGTTCCTAATGCATTCTGCACAGATTAAGCTTTGCTTTGCTTGCTTCTC